GTCACTTGACCCCTCTTCCTCTCAACGGCTGTTCCATGTCAAGACATCTAAACTGCTGCCAAAGTTTTGGAAGAGTCCATTGGTACATGTAGTATCTTATCGCTCAGTCCGTATATTACATATGTCTTGACATGGAACAGCCGTTGAGACGATGAAGGGTCAAGTGACGTATTGTTCAACGATCTTATTTTAAAGATGGCAACTGTGAGAGTGAGCCCGTTAGATTGAATGGATAAGGGCAAAATGACTAGAAATGCCTCAATAACGTGAATGAAATTATTCAATAAATAGTTTTCAGAAAGCGGAAAGGTCAAGGATCATGTTCGTATGCAAAAGAAATTGCGCCCACGATTATAAGTGGGTGCGCCAAAAATGTTCAGTACGCCGACACGAAATTGCGCATACGGATATGTGGCTAAGGATAAATCGGGAGTGATCTGTGCCACACTAGTGGGGCTATCAGTGCAGGAACGTCGAACTTCAGGGCCCACTAACGTTAGGCATTGGTCATCATCATCTGATCATGTTGATCAGGTGTATGTTGGGGGGGGGTACAATTGTCATGTAAAAATCTCACCACAAGTTTGTCTCATGAAATATTAACATCAGCTCGGGACTATATACCTTATTTTGGCTTCCAGTTGTTCAGTCATCAGATCAGTGGGTGACAATCTTTCGCTACCACCTGATTTGCCTTTGCTGTTTTCATTTTCTGGATCCGCCATTGTTCCCAAACTTCGTGTTGTTTTGGTGACAGACATCACTTCGCTTTTACTTCTATTAAAATGATAAGTAAGAGTTTCCATTGCGATAAAAATGGAGCCCCTGATGTAAGGATGACCACTGGCTATTCACCAGTGGTGATCGGTGGGTCAGTCGAAGGGCTTTCGGCCCCCAACTAACGCCAAAATTTGCCCTAGTTCATCGTGATGGCACTCATTTTCCAACATTGCAATGTTAATGCGATGCATATAGCGCGATGCTGATGACAGTAAGTACACAAAATCAGCATAATACCACTCACAATGCACATGTGCATTACATGCTTTAACTGGTTTCCTATTACTACACCCAAATTCACAACAGAAAGGTGGGTACCATGGAAATATCCTTTTGTTCTGTAGAGGGCGGTGTCACTAAACTCCGAGGTTGCTTTTTCGCACGTCCCACATTTCTATCTTAGAGACGTGGACGAGCGAAGATTGAAAGTTGAGCAACCTTTGGACCCGGCTACTAGTTTTCAAGGTGTCTCATCACTGAGTAAATTGACAGAGTGCGATTATTTCATACTGATTTATTTAATTTGAATATTAAATTGTCAATGAATCTGCAAGAAGATTATCTTCGTAGGGACGCATTTTCAGCGACGCTACACTGGACAGTGTCAATGCCCACTCGTGTAACTGGGGGGGGGGGAGCGCCGGATGGCCTCCTAATTTGAAATGTGGGAATAGTGTCTGTTGAAATGCAGCTGCAGTTTATTTTCTTGTGGTGACCCCCGGTGACCTACAATCCACTCCCCGCCCCCGCAGAATGGAGGAAAGCATTCAGATCCATTTGTCCGAAGCCACTGTTACAGAACAAAAAGTATAATTACCACCACACTTTAATTAATCAATACCGCCATGGGTGGGGCCACTGCACTTCCACAGCGACGGCGTTACCTCGTCATTACATTCACTTATTGGTGAAATGTCCAAAGTTTTATTTGATTACACAGAGAATGAGATAATTGTTTTATTGGGTTTGTTTGGAGTTATTTGTTTTTGTTTATTTGTTTCCTTTTTTTCTATTCGGGAAAAAAGGGTAAGGCGACACAAAACCTACTAGTAGGTTGCGTCGTGCATTTTGTTTTCATTATTTTGCCTAGAAACGGGAACAACCGGCTGCAGCAAAGCCCGTGGAAAGCACTCTGCAACTTACATGTGTTAAAATAATACATAAACACTATTCCCCCTTGGCTTCTCCGTCTGAGCATGAAAATGTGTCGTTTTTGCGAACTGACTTACAAAAGGAACGGGTTGGCCGGACCCCATAGAGTCAGATTGGCCAAAAGGAGACTTGGTGTCAGACGCTTCCATCTGAGGTGAATCATTACTGGGCAGGGGCATCACTGAGGGGCGGGGCTGCAAGAGGGAGCATTCCATTGGAAAACTGAAGACTATACAAAAAGGGGAAAAGAAAAATCTAAATAAACGAAAAAGTGGGGGAAAGGATGAAAAAAAAAACAGTAATTTCTTGGAATTGACCTCTTGAGTCCGGTTTTTTGCTGATAAATGCTTTGTTTCCCCTTTCCCCTTCGAGAAAATGCACCCTACTCTCTTGCAGAAATCCTGACGATGCCCTTGGCCTGGTGTAGTGGACCAGCAAGTCAAAAATGACAACAGGAATTTATGTATTTTCCTTGAGGGACTAGAAGAAGCCCGGGATGGAGGCCGTGCGATTGACAATGGTCAGGAGGTGGCATGTCATCGAGTACTTCTTGAAAATAACTCTAAAAGTTTGGCCCAAACAGAATCTAATCATTTCCCCCGCAATTCCCATGAAGGCATGTTTCCCAAATTGCTAGCATATATGAAAAAAATGTATTGGTCCCTCTCGGTGCAAGAAAAATGGGTGTAGTCTGTGTCCACTATCGGACTGATGCACTGTCCAGAATTTGGAAAGGGGAGACCTCTTTCAAACAGAAACAGTCTGTGTACACCGAGCATTAATGTGGTGAACGTGAGTATTAGTAACCACGATAAACACTATGATATGGTCCCATTAAATCCTTGAATATCAAACAAAGAAGATAACTTATCGTTTTCGTTATAAGCTATTATATGTAGGTCTATGATGTACTGTCTATCTATCTATCAGGATTCACGTGTCTATAAAAGGGCCAGTCTTATAGGTTTTAGTGTGTTGCTGTCGGTCATTTTGACTGTGAATCATTCAGAATGAAACTTGAGGAAATTATTCCCCTTGTGGGCAATTTCGGGCGCTACCAGTTCTTCGTGGTCTTATACACTGGCTTGCTTGGTATCGTCGGCTGCATGGTCAGTTTTGGTCATGTGTTTTTCGCAGCCGAAACCGACCACTGGTGCCAAGTTCTGCCCGCGAAGAACTGTTCCAGCTGGGTAGAGTTCCAAGACAATTGTACGGACGTGAAGAAGTCCATTCTCCTGCCGCCACCCGAGAACGAGAACAGCAAGTATCCTCACTCCAACTGTGAGCAGTGGGATCTACCACCTGGGTATGAGTTTGATCCCTACGAGCCACTTAGCAAAGGTGGAAATTCTACCCACAGTACGGTGCCGTGTCAAGATGGATGGGAATACGACACTTCAAACTACAAAACTACGATCATATCTGATGTAAGGCAATTTCCCTGTGCAGCCTGCATGTTTTGGTCTACAGCTGGTGTTAGTTTTGATTGAAAAGACAAATCTTGCACAAATTAGGTAGATCATAAAAATTTCCCTCAAGCATGACATGAATTACCTTCAACTCTTTGTCGATGATCATGAAGGTCAACTTCGAATGTTTTTATGGATCATTCTATAAATTTTAGTAACCTTTTACATTGAGGACAATGCATTTAGACTACTGGTATAAGCCTGTAAAGTGCACACTTTAGAGGGTACAAATTTTCTCCTGACATTGCTTAATTTTCTAGTTTGACCTGGTCTGTGAGAAGAAAAGTCTCCCCAGCCTCGCTCAGTCTATATACTTCGTGGGATTTTTAGTCGGATCTTTCGTTTGCGGCTCCCTGTCTGACTGGTAAGCTCACGGAAAAACACCAGGCCCATTCGAGGCTTGAACTGCGAACTATTCTTGTTTATTGGACACAAAAGCAGTCCTTGGAGTCATCCATTTTGTTCTTTTCACAAGCGTACAAAATTTACTCCTGCTTCCGACCAGCCGCTTCCAGCAGAGTGCGTCACAAAATGATGGCCGAAAAGCGACCAAAAGCTGCATGTACGCAAACCCTACCCAATGTTTGCCAAAAAAACGTCCCGCGTGTTCGATAGCACAAAGACTGATGAATCAACAAGTTAAAAAAAAAAGCGGCAAGGATACTTACGGATTTTTTTTTTAATTTGATTTTTTCTTTTTTCCCCTTTAAAATGCAGGATGGGCCGCAAGAAAACCATCTTTGTGGCCCTTCTGTTTTACTCGATAGGCTCAATCGTCACAACATTCTCTGTGAATATCTACATGTATATGGCCTTCCGTTTTATGGCTGGCTTCGGCAACATTGGTTCTTACATCCCCCTCTTTGTGCTTGGTAAGGAGGAAGATTTTGTACCTTTTAAGGTCACCTTCAGACTGCCCTTGTCAAATCTTCTCATCAATAGGAAGGGTGGGGACGGCGGGCAGTGTAAGCTTTTAATAAAGGAGAACCATGCGGTGTGAATTTGTGCCGGAAATTGAGGGGATGGGGTATTGTGGGGGATGACTTGCCCGGCCATGGAAATTTGAAAGTTAAGGGGGCACTACTGACACCATATGACTCTACATAGGGGCAATTTTCATGATACAGAATGTACAACTCAATAATTATGTATCATATTCCTGTAGAATATCACATCAGAGCGGCATATTTATGGCTTTTTATTGTTCCCCTATTTGAGTGCCTTTGAATACGTAAGTCCAAAAAGTTCTTTGGAATACGCCTTCACTTTTTTCTCACCGTAAAAAATTGGAGGGGATTCCATAGCCCATCCCCCTTGGTCAAAAAGTTGGGTGATGTACCTCCATTCCCGGCATTTACGCCCATGAAGCAGACCTTCATAAATTGATGCGGTTTGGTCGTTGGATAATCATTGAAACAAATCATTGAAGCTCGGTGAGGGATGGACGGAATGCTGTGCGTAAGTTTTTTTCTACATTTTAGTCGGGGGCACTAAACAGTAGATGGCAAAAAGTCCCAATGGGTAGAGTTCGTAATCTGTACAAATCGACTTGGAGCCATTCCAAAAAAATGTTTACGTCCAAACAAAAGGCTGGGCACATGCACAATTGAAGGCGCTATGGCCAATGGGGTGGTAGGATGGTGGTAATGCCTCCAAACAAACAGCTGCATCTCTGTAACTTCTTACAACTGGACTTACTCGTCTTCTTGCAAAAACAGTGGTGGAATTTGTCGGGAAGTCATGGCGTACACCTGTTTCGATGTCGGCTGCTATATTCTTTGCATTTGGGTATTTCTTCCTGGCAACTGCTGCTATGTACGTGAAGGAATGGCGGACTCTTTCCCTGATCACCTCACTGTTAACGCTACCTTCTTTTGTTCCACTGATGTAAGTGTCACTGGTACATTTGAAACAAGATATGGTACGGAGAGAACCCCCCGCCTTTGAGTTGGTCATTGTTTGATCGGAATCTCAGGAATTCCTTCTAGGGGGGACGTGTTAGGTAACAATAGTCTAGAGTGTGTACAGGGATTGGACAGGTAAGGGGGGGTACCCCTCCGTCCCATATTTTGCCTGGTATACACTGGTGACTTCAAGATGAAGCCATCCTTACTTAACCCCTAAACAAACCAGGCTTTGTTGGACCATCTCGTTGATTACCACCTAAGGACGAGGCTGTCCTGTTGCAAGTTAGTATGCGTTTAAAACACTCTCTGTACTCGGTGAAGTTTCATTCCAACCAAGAAACGTTTTTGTTGTTGTAGTCATTTGAATTTCATGTTCTCACACGTGCTGGCCAGTGTGCATTTAGCATATCACCTATATGCATAACTTTGGGCGGACCTGTCTTGGAAAAGTGGGCGTTTTGCTAACGGTGTGTCCAATTTTCAGAAAACTTTAAGTCCAAATGGCCAAAAGATATTACTGGAAAAAACTACTGAAGGCTCGGCGTAGGGAAATGCATTGTAACAATACTCAAGAAAAGGTCGGCTCTTTCGAGTTTGAATAAAATAGAAACCCAAACTTTGAGATACATTTTGCCCATAAAATATGGATTATGGCGGATGCAATAGGGGGCTCTATATGATGTGTGCCTAAATTTTAGTCGATAGACCCTTCTTTTTTGACCAACACCGTACTACTAGTTTGTAAGGGCGACCAAAGTTTGCACGACGTTCACTCACTCTGGCGATTAGCAACGAAGGCTTACCCTATAGGAAATTAGACTTCGCTGTCTGTGCGATCGAACCACAAATAACCCGCAGCATGGCTTCCTTTTGCACCCAACATGTTGTTTTCAAGCATTATTTCTTCTTGGTCAGATTTATGGAAGAGTCAGTGAGCTGGCTGGTTTCTAAAGGCAGGATCGAAGAAGCAAATGCGGTCATCAGACGAGTTGCTAGAATCAACGGAAGGACGCTCCCAGATGACTTATTCGATAAAGAGGACGTCAAAGAAGAAGCGGTATTTGTTTATTTCATTCTTTAGACTTAGAAACTAAAATATTTCTATTCACTGCGTGGGTCCGGTAATACGTTGTTGGGGAACGCTTTTGATGAGTCAGTATGTTGTATGTGAAATTGGCACACATCGACTACACTGCGCATGACTGATCGAACGGATAACATTCGACTAAAGAGGTATGGGAGAGGATAGATGTCCATGTAAGGAAAAAATGACCGATTTTCATCGGCGTTCAATTTCGATACGGCACACCAGCATGCACTCCCGCATGACTTACTTACCAACAAGTTTTGTAAAATATTTCCCGAACTAAAAAGAAGTGAAGTCGCTCCGGTAGTGAGCCGGTTCGGTATTGTAAAAGCGCATGCGAGAAACTGAAGCGCGTCGAGGTCACACAGCAGCACGTGTAAGCCGACGCGATAGCCTGCCCTATCGGAGCAACCACACGCCGCCTTACACGGCGCGCGCTTTGTTCCCGGAAGACCTTGCCCTATTGAAATACCGAGCTGCCTCACTGTCTTCCTGTATTCATTTTGTGTGAAGTCAGATCAGCATTTTGGAGGATTGCAGCCAGTGTATTTTGTGGGAAGAAACCCTGGGAATTAAGGGCAACTGAGATCACTAGATTGCACTGGCTGACGGAATGTTTCCTGTTAAGTTAGGAAATGTATTGAAAACGTAGAAATGAAATAATTATATGCCCAGTGAGTTCCAGCGAAATGTGGTAAAACAGTTGCCATAAAGTAGTAAAGGGTCAGTACAGAAATGGACATCACCAAAATGATTGTCCAAGGTTGATCCATAAATTAACTATCTGCACATTAAGCATTGTCATATTAATCAAGTTTGCCTAATTACTAGGTACCAATGCGGTATTTTCACAGCAAGGATCTACTGCAAAATTGATCGCTGTAACGAAACTTTATGCGGAAAAATACTGAAACGCAATGCCATGGCTTGGTCAACTGAGCAAGCAGATGGATGGCTAATAATTTCTTTTGTTGTCCCCTGTTTTTTTTTCTCAAAGGAATCTAAGGAATCAAGTGTTCCACCGTCTGTCATTGACCTCTTCAAAACACCCAACATGGCTGTCAAGACCATCAACATGATGTTCAATTGGTATGTAACGCACAGACGGACCCACATTCACTTTAAAAGATCTAAGCGTGAAATCGTGTGCTTGACAGCGCCGTGAAATTTAGCCTACGAGAGATGCGCTAGCTACGCTACCAGCTTGGGCCCATTTGCTAAGCACAAAAATTTACACTAACAGACGCTTCGTGTCTTTCATGAAGACTCTGAATGGTGAGCACGGCAACTCTTACCTCGGAGAAAATTGATAAAATAACGGAAATATCTATGCGCGCAACCGTCAGCGCAACCAGGCCAAGCCAAGCACCGCAGTAGTGTGTACGGTTAGCAACATTTTCTGCTATGGTAAGCACGACTTTCCTGAGAACTATAAAACAGCGCCATGCAATTTGGCTATGACACCCTAGGCTTACGATTTCGATTTACGACGTTTCTGTAAAACTGAGCCACTGAAAGCATCAAGGCAAAAGTTATTGATGTGGCAATTCCTGATAATGCTCACGACAAGGATTTCGTTTGTTTGTTATGAAATGTTTGTCCTTATTTTGTTAAATAAATTAAACAATTATGCATGCTCTTGTTTCACTTCTTTGTGCCATCAAGCGTTTTGCATTTCTATCGTATCTTGCTGACACGACATTGTACTCTCCATAACCCACCCCCCAGTTTTACTCTCAAGGACCCCTGCCTGTTGTTGCTCAAAGGTGCCTTTCCATTGTTTGCGTCAACACTTGTGCCAAGCGTCGCGTTTCTGTCAAAATCGCTCCCGGGACGATTTTGACGGCCCAACGCAACGCGCGCACGTGTTATGTTGGAGTTGATTTTTGTGTCCGTGGAAGTAACGCTTGAAAGCATTATGTACGCAACGCACCCAAAAACTTTACACATGGAATGGCACCTTTAGGCTACAACCCTGCTCCACTCCAAGGTACTCTTTTATTTTCGATGCTGGAGAAAGTGTAACCTTTTGCTCATGAATATGCATGTCTAAGTATTAGGAAAACGATTTTTAAAAAGGCCCCGAAACATGTACACTGCTTGAGTTTGAAAGTAAGTCGAACATAAAAGGGGGCAAAAAGACAGCGATATTAAAAAGAGAGCACTGCGTCGATCCATCACATTGCAGTAAACCAAATGACAGCCAACAAGACGATAATTGTAACAAATCATTTGTGTGTTTTCCCCGAGTCCAGGACCGTCAATAGCCTGATCTATTACGGCCTATCGCAGAGTACGGGCGATCTAGGAGTGGATGAATACTGGGCTTTCTTCATTTCCGGAGCCGTGGAGATTCCGGCCTTGCTCTACGCTACCTTCGCTATTGAATGGTTCGGTCGCAAATGGAACACTGCTATACTAGAGATGATTGGCGGGGTGGCCTGCTTGGCAACTATCTTCATCCGTGAGTATCTGACACACAATGGGTTGCCCCTATATCACCATGCCCCTGTAAAAATCCTTTAATGATAGCCGTGATAAGGCATGTTATTGCGTCAAGAAATGACCCTGTAATCATTACAGTATCCATGCCTGTTTATGCGTCTTTGTACTCTGCGTTAATGTACGACAACTGAAATCCTTTTAGTGTTACGTGTACGAAAACTGACATCCTTTTAGTGTTAGGTGTACGAAAACTGAAATCCTTTCAAAGTTAGGTGTACGAAAACTGAAATCGTTTTGGAGTTAGGTGTATTGAACGGTTAATTCTTTAATGTCCAAACTTGAGGGCGCTGTTGCTGTAATTATGTATATGGAGGACGCTGTACAGTTCCCTGTTTTCATGTTTAATTTTGAACCCCATATTTGCTCCTTATAAACACTTCTGATAAAGACGATGCTAGCTGGCTAATTGCCGTCAACTTACAGAAAAATAATTTGCCAAAAAGTGGAAATTTACGACGGCAAAATATGAAAAATTCCAGCCGTTTTTTGTTGCGCACTTCAAGGCAAAACTTGTGCCTATATAGACTCACACTACAAATCGTATTTCAAGATGTACTTTGCGTCGGGGAGATATCAATTTTAACTACGAGTTTGCCCTTAGTTACAAACTTGCTCGTGAGTATGCAAATAACCATAAAACCCAAAACCGAAACCGAATAAGATAGCAAAGCAAAAATTGAAATAAAGCTAAGGACATATACATGATGCAGTTTCAAGGTTTGTTGTAAAAATAACTATATTACATGACTCCTTTAGGTGCTTTTACACCGGACTTCAATAATGTGTCAGGCTTTGATTTAGCTAAGCCTTAGTGTCATGACTACTACTAAGAATAATTTATTCATATATGAAGCAAACAATTCACACACTTATGTTAAAATGCGCCGTAAAATGAAGACATTAAACGTGGTCGAGCCAATGGTATACGTGGGCATTTCAGGCAACCGCCAAACGTTTATTCTCCACTGACAGCCGTTGGGAGGTGACAATAAGAAGCAGTTACAGAGATAGAGGTGGGAGGAAAACCCCAGAGATGGAAATTTCTTGGTAAAACCAAGCGAACCAGATAGAGACTGAAACCCAATCTATGTGGACCAAGCCAGGAATTGAACCCAGGCCGCAGAGGTGAAAGGCCGAAAGGCAAGGAACAAACTACTTCACCAGCCTGACTACAGATCTATACTGCTACAGCTGGGACTGTCTTGCTAACGCCGCAAACATGGAAGGCCAGAAATATGAGCATTTCTATTCGGAGGCAAAAGCAACTGCTGGGATCTGTAAAGCTCAATTTGGATCCTTAAACGCAGAAAGGAAACCGTGCATGAAAAATGCCTTTAGGCGCGATTAATAGAGGGATAGTCATTACAGTCCACGTTTTTAATGGTTCATTGCCATGTTAGAGGAACTGTTACCGAGTACCAACTGCAAGGTTTATATTTAGACTCAGTGTAAATGATATAATATATCATATATTTATATAAATATAGGTCCAAAAAGGGAGAAACCAGCGGATGTTCCAGGTTGAGCTGGCTCTAAGACCTAGAAGTGAAACTATGAATTTGCGTTTGCCATCTGCCTGCATCGCGCTGTCGATGTAAAAGTAACACTGATGGTTCATCTCCGATCAAAACTTGCTCTTTGTAGAAAAACCATTCGTTGTTTCTGCACTGTAATATATATCTGTAACTGACATCAGTGCAAAGTTTATAATTCCCAAGATAAACGAGCAAGGACATCTATGGTAATCCCTCGCGAGTGGTAAGCAATTAAACATCTAGCCTTTCTTTTATTATCAGCATACATTGACCAATATTTTGTATGGACAGCTAAAGTTTACATTTACCTGTGGTGTCACAGTTTTCGCGTCAAATTGTGCATTCTGTTTGTAATGATTTGGGGGGCATTTTCAGTTAGTATAAAGTGTAGTGGCAATTGTTATCACTTGTTACTGAGGGGAATGGAGGATTGGGAACCGTGTGGGATGACTTGCTCAGCCACGGAAATTTTTAAAAGCTGACATCAGGCGGCGATGTTCGTGATACCGAAGTAAATCTGTAATTCATTCAGAATCTTAGATCAGAACGGCATAATTATACCTTTTTATATTTCTTCCTTTCTAAGTGCTATTGAATACATTGTGAATGTTGGGAAGTCCGAACAATTCTTAACCAATCTGCTTTAATTTCTTCTCATCACGACACATTCAGGAGGATTCAATAGCTCGTCCCCAAAGGTCAAAACATAGCATGGAGGGGGATATAATACCCCCCACCTCCCGGAATTTACGCTTATGATTGTCATTTATAACAACTAGCCATAACTTTCCAATCAACCATTTGTTGGCAAAAAATATGTCTGTGACCTACATAAAAAAAGAAAGGCTTATCGACCCTTGAAGCGAAAGTTCTGCACATGCATAATCTTCTCTTTCGTATAGCTCTCGGGATTTGGCGCACTGTGGTGTCTATGATAGGCAAGTTCTGTATCTCAGCTACTTACGGAATCATATACCTATACACCACGGAATTGTTCCCGACCCCGGTTAGGTAAGTTTTTCAGTGAACCCTGGACTCTACGATTTCGTAATTATAGGATTGGTCATAAAGAGATAAAACATACTTTGGAGATCACAATCTACATGTAAATATTTACATATAAGGTTTATTTCGGACGTCAACGTGCAATTACCTAAAGACTGTGTCAATCATGCATTCATTTTACCGACAAATCCAATTGCTGTCACCTTGACAGGCGCAGATCCCGGTCCCAGCTCTGAGGCAAAAACAAAAAGAAAAAATTAAAATTAAAGTTTAAAAAAGAATTACTAAAGTAAATTTAAAAACAATATAGCATCCCGCGGATTCTTCTTATGTGAACAAGGTGTGTGTTACAAAAATATATGTCATGTATATATGTCATGTATAAGCGTTGCCGCTTGTGCATAAAAATGAAACTTGACCCCCGCCCGAAAAAATTCCTGGATCTGCCCCTGCTGGAGGAATCGGGCTCAAAACAAGGAGGCGTATTCAGCCCTTTCATGCCCTTTGGATTTCGATTGTTCGTGACAGAAATGATAAGCATAATGCACTCAAAGACACTAATTATGAGCCCACCTGTGAAGTTGCAATCCAATCTGGAAAGAGTTTTTGCTGTTATACTAGAGCCGTGCAGGGGCCTCGCAGGGTTGCAGACTGCAACGATATGAGGATTTTAGAAGCTTTGCTTTATAAACACACTCCTGTTGGCCCTTGCATTAATCTCATCGCACTCGTTCTCGTTTAGTGAGATAAACATGCCGGTATGTTACGCATCATGTGAACAGTAGCTCCATTTGGTCATAAAAACTGTTGTGAAAGTAACTTGAACAGATAATCACGTGGTAACTTGTGAAGGCTCTGGAAGGTTTTTAAATAACTCTTTTTACTGTAATGGTTTTGGAGAAAATGGAGGCTGGTCAATCCCTGGGTTATAAGCTTGAAGTCGTTGACGGTACCTTCATTCTGGGTTTTTGTAAGAGACCGTCGATTTGCAAATTGTAATCCTTTTCGCAGGTCGATTGGCTTGGGCATGAGTTCACTGTCGGCCAGGGTCGGAGGTATCCTGTCCCCCATCATTCTCCTGTTGGGAGACTACCTGGACAGTCTGCCCCTTATCGTGTTCGGCTGCAGCGCGGTGTTGGCAGGATTCCTGGTACTACTTCTGCCGGAGACTAAAGGAAAGAAACTCCCACAGACGCTGGAAGAAGGGGAAGAAATTGGAAAGTAAGTTGGTGACTATCAGCCTCGAGCTGTACCAAGAGAGGGCGCAATTTTCCTAGCAACGAAGGAGCCTTTGGTCGGAACTGCACTTCACTGGTTCACAAACGACTATTGGTATGAAATGCACGCGTTACGGGCGCGTCGCTATCAGAAAAAAAAACGCTCCTGACCAACGTGGCTTTATTCAACTGATGAGGGGGTGCTTCTGCTCACGGCGGAAAATAAGTTTTCTCTCCGAGCAACATATTAAGAGTGGGGGCTCAGGGGGTTTAGCACCTTGCAAGAATGTTTTCTTTTTGGAAAACAATACACACTACAATTTACTCTTAAATCATTAACTATAAATTCTGATATAGCCGTAAATCTCAGTCCTTTGTGGCGCAACCGGGGGGGTGTGACTTGAGCACCATGGGCTATCCTGAGGTAAAGTCCGGTTTGAGTCCCCTACCCACGACAAACCCTGGGTATACCACTATGTGAAACCCAATTCCAGTGGTCGCTTCGAATCAGTTTATTTTCCGAACATTAATAAGGTAATAAAGTGCGAAGCCCATACCATTTATCAACCATGAGAAAACATCGTAAGTTCCAAATAAACCCTGTCCACGTGGACTTCGAGATGCACAATCATAAAGAAAAACCCCTGATGTGGGGGAGGGGACCAGCGATAGAAACCGCTGCAAAGAGCGTCATCTCATAAAAAAATTAATTTTGCACAGTATTGTGCTGGTATTCTGGTAGAATACAGGCTACAGCAACGGCCCATAATCAGATTCTGAGGATTCGAATTATTGGCATCATGCCCAATGTGTAACAGTGACCTCTTCCCTTTTTGCAGATGCCGATGCATGCGCAGTGACGCCGACAAAGCCGCCATCGACGAAGTCAACGAAATCGACGCGGACAAAGAGGGGGCCTTAGCTTTGTCCAACCCTGGCTTTGACTCTATGGAGGAAGAGGCGAGGGAATTGGAGGAGATCAAGGGAAAAGAATGATTGAAACTGGACGACCATTCAGCGTTGCAGTTAATCATACGATATTTTTGGTTGTGGGCGAATGTGCTCTCATTGAAGTCTTTTTCAGACAACCGATCCTGGAGCTCTCATTTTGGTTTTTATTAGTGCCTGTTACAAGACGACATTGTTACCCCATAATACGGGTGATTCACAATAGTGCGCCACCGAGAGTTTGCGACGCGTTGGCCAATCATAACACGCAAAATTTGTCGACCTTTTCCAAACGCGCACTGGGTCGACAAATTTCGCGCATTGTGATTGGCCAACGCGCTGCAAACTCTTGGTGGCGCACTATTGTGAAACGGCCGTATTGTCAAGCCATAAAACATCCTACTTTGCGGAGATTGTCTGGTGCTCCATTAGGGATTATTTTCGCCAGATATGTTAATGTAATGCCCTATATTTTTTTGAGATGTTTTTATCAGTGACCATTTAGATCAAAACGTTCTTAGCCAGTCTCAGTCGCCCCAAATTCATTTGTATTAAGGCGTGTGCGAGGGAATAATAGCAGGAACCCCAAAATTTTATTATTATTATTATTATTATTATTATTAATTATTTCTGGTAATGAAACCAAGGATTTCTCAAACGCGCTCGCTAGCCATGCAGAAGAAACCTTTAGAGAGGAGACAGTGAGAAGCAGTTACAGCTTTAGAGGCGGAAGGAAAAGCCCAAAGGAATATTCTGGATGAAACCCACAGAATCGGGTAAGGGACCGAAAACCCAATCCGCATGTGTACCGAGTCGAGATTCGAACCCGGACCGCAGAGGTGGAGGGCGAGAAAAGAAACACTATGCCAACCTGATTCCCCCTTAAGGCGCCTTTCCACATGCGTTCACGGACACAAAACTCGACCCCATTAATATAACACACGCGTGAGTTGCATTCCGCCGTCAAAATCACCCAGGGAGCGATTCTGACATATACGCAACGCGTGGCACAAGCGTTGACGCGCATTATGGAAAGGTGCCTTTTGTCTTATTTCATAAGATTTGGCCGTCGCATTATTACTGTTATTATAGGTTATTTTGCATGGCCTTGGTTTATGATTTGGAATCAATAAACTTTGAGCCTGGGGTATTAAACTGACACATATCCTCTGCTTTTAATTTTCAAATTACTGAGCTATCGCTTGGAACTGGTCGAAACGTGTAGATTTCTTTTAACGCACTATACTGCACCGCAATCGATGGGAGCTATCTTTGGAAAACTCCCACATGGAGCCGAAGAGGCTGGATTTTTCTTTGCACCCCGATACGCACGAGCTTATTACCAGTCAATGTGGAGATCAGTGTGTAGGCCTATTATGTTTATTCTGTTTCATTTTGTGTAATGTGGGTAATTAAACACACTGTCAATATAAAGTACTTTAAATATCTTACACGAAAAAGAGTTATCGTTTAATTTGTTATATATATTATATTTAGAGGCTCGATAGGTTGATTAGAATTTGGCGGAAAACCCTTAAAAGGAGTGGACTTCATGACATAAATGTATTCAAATTTACCAACCCAAAGCTAATATCAGGAATAGGCGGTATAATCATGGAAGATCACTGTCATAGCTCGCATAATTGTTAGTTATTATGGATTTTAGGATGTGCCCTACATACAGGGACAGCCGTGCACGGTCGGACGCCGTGAAGATGCGGTCGTCGCTACATAGTTGATTCCCTGTCGCATCAAAAATGGCTGTCTACATCGAAACTATAATGTCCAGGACGCCTCTCCTATGTTTAAGTGCAGCCCACAAGTATCCAGTACATAGCTTTTAAACAATCCACATTATTTTGTATTTATTTTAATTTAAATCTTCAGATGTAAAAAATAAAGGTGGTTGTTCCGGGGATATCTGGGAAACACAAAGGTTAAACTGTCATGTGTACCCAGACCAATGACAACAATAAATGAAATTAATTAAAGTTAACAAACATAAAAAACAGAATGTTAAATGCAAATACAGAACCAAAACCACGAGAAAAACAAGAACACGCAGAGGCCTACATAAAACATGGTATTAGAATAAACAAGTCGAAAACCGAAAAAACAAACAAATGAACCTGGTAACAAAAAAAATCGTAAACACAAATAAGACAACTCGTAAACCCCAATGTTGAAGTTGCGCAGTAATGAAAGTCAATAATGCAAAAATGTGAAGATATTTCCTCGATTTGTGATGTATCTAGGAAATATGCACAGATGAGCAATTTACATACCTGCACAATTCACCAGGCTAATGAGTTCTGTCATATCACCATCGCAGCCCTACGCAAGGCCAAAGATCTCTTAAAATGGTCGAAATCTTTTGCCCTGGGAATGCTAGAGTAATAAGATCGCTACCGTTGTTCGCTATTACACGCACCCTTGAAAAGGACGCTAAAAGGGGCCAATCGCTTTGTTTCTTTCACAATTGAGTAGTAATTAATGTGAAAACTAATAAGACAACTTATGCAAAAAGAATGTACATCTACTAAATTAAATACCCACAAAGATTTCAAATACCTGCACGACTTTCAGAAAATTCTGTTAAGGGCATTTACCTACACCAAAGTGTCCCATAAAGGGCGGTGGATGCTGGAGACAAGTGGACAGTTGTGCCGCCACCCCTACATGTATCCAGGCGTCAATATTAAAGGACGCCGTTGGTGATCGCCCGTTATATAAAATAAGTGTTGTAATTGATTTTTGCATAATGTCTGCCATGAGGCATTGTTATTTCCAAAGACTTACACAATATTGTGGCAGCTGAATCTCACGTTCGGTTGAAATCTTGACCCCTTTAAAGTGTGAACCTTTATTATTTTGTTTACCATTGCTTACAAACAGACTCCGAAACGGAATACAAAGTTCGTATAAAAACCGCTGCGATGCGGCACTGTGTTATAAAGTCCAACAGTGTATCGTGCAGGCTAGAGGCTAGATTTTTGGATGGGCGTGTAGTGGAGGTCTATCAGAATGAAACTTGAAGAAATTATTCCCCTCGTTGGCAATTTTGGTCGCTATCAGTTGTACGTGGCCTTATACATTGGCCTGCTCACAACAGTCGCTAGCATGGTCAGTTTTGGTCATGTGTTTTTCGCAGCCGAAAACGACCACTGGTGCCAAGTTCTACCTGCGGAGAACTGTTCCAACTGGGTGGAGTTCCAAGACAAATGTACCAACGTGAAAAAGTCCATTCTCCTACCACCACCCGAGAACGAGAACAGCAAGTATCCTCACTCCAACTGTAAGCAGTGGGATCTACCACCTGGGTATGAGTTTGATCCCTACGATCCACTCAGCCAAGGTGCAAACTTCACTAACGATACGGTGCCCTGTCAAGATGGTTGGGAATACGACACCTCGCAGTACAAGACCACAATTATCTCTGAGGTAAGCCGAACATGACAGCTCATACACTTCCGAACACAGTAAATCTAGCTGGTTTTTACTTTTTTCAATTAAAGACAGATCATCTTACGAACGAGCTTTAAATGTTTAAGGGGGGGGACGCCGAAGGAAACGGCTGAAAATGTATGTGTATACGATTTGTTTACTTCACATACCAGTGGGTCCTATTTCAAATATCCGGACAACTTACAGAAATACACTTTTTGTCTTATATTTACAAAGAAATGAAGAAAAGCACAGTTTCCTTACATCAGATGCGGTGTCATTTTGAAGCTTGCTCCTTCGAATTTCTAGCAAAGCACAATCTGCCTGTCTGTTCGCCTGTTTAGCTAATATCAGAAACGTGTTTCATTTGCCACATGAATGCTCTCTTCTAGACCATGTAGGTTTGTTTAGTGAAGCTAGCTCCCATGTATAGCCCCTATACCCGGCAACATATGGGACGGAAGGGTCCCCTACATGCCAATCCTGTGGACACTCTAGGCTAGACCATTGTTACCTAACACATCCCCTAGATGTTTGATAAGAATTCCGGTAAACACTGACCTGCGCGTTTATAACCCTCCAAGGGCGTGTGCGCAGTATGGAGCAGAAGCAGAATGGGGGGCTCTGTCCATCCCATATTTTGCGCCAAATGTCCAATGAGCGGGCTACACCAGCCCGCTCATAGAATAGAGCCTGAAAGTTGACCCCTAGCGGCGCGCTTCCGGAACGCTTGGATAGGAAAAATAACGTGCACAGATTTTAGAATTTGTATTCTTTTTCGTTCAGTAACTTCAATATCCAACTTGGAAAAAGGGCTCTGGAAAAATATTTGCTAGTATATTAATTTCTACAACCTGAAAAATTACCTGACCTAAGAGAGAAATATCCTGCCAAAAATCGACCCATCACTTCCAAAAATCTAAAATACATGATGAACATTTAGAGTTTGAAATTTTACGGAGCCTGGAACCCATCGACTGCAGGTAGGTAAATCTTTGCAAAGTTTTACAATCTCTTATCACAATTTAAGCACAGAGAGTGAAAACAAACGTGCATGAACAAGCAGACCTAGGTTCAATATCGCCGGACGTGAAAGGTCGTTGATGAAATTCGTTTTTTACCCATCTCCAGGTGGCTATTCCTTAATATTAGTTGAGGAAGACAAAGGTAAAATTCCAACATGAGTGTTTCATGGGGTGGTTTCAGTAAGGAATTATTTTTCCCAAAATTTTCGAACTTGATAGGACGGCCCAGTGTAAAGTCCCCATAGGCGGACGGCGCGTGGGTTCCGGAAGCTCGCTGCGTGACCTTTTACTTTCAAGCTACGGCGCAGCCCCACACACCCCTCGTGCGCCGCACAGCCCGGTGATCATGTTTTGATTTTCACATGATTCGGAATCTTTTATTTTTGTTCATTTCCAACTGTCCATAAGCCCATGCTTTCAATGAAGACCAGCAGTGCAACCCGAGCACAGCCGCTCGTTTTTCGGGGGTCAGAATGTGCATGCTAGAAATTCGTTCTTTCGGGCATCTCGCAAAAGCCTTGAATTATTAGGGTGCAGGTTGTGTTGACCAGTATATTGTACTTTTAAATGATCTTCCTGATTTTTGTTTTCATTTTGCAACTTAATTTAAGAGGGGAGAAAGAGACGGAATGAGCCTCCACCCAGGGGACACAGGGGGCTGCAGCTTCTTTCTGGGGTATACTCCGAGGTTCGGCAGGTCCAGTTAGTTTTATGAGCACACCTTTTGAACCCGCACAAATGTGCAGAATGCAGAAGGTCATCAATTAGTCTCTGAGGAGATGAGGCTACATTTGGGAGCTTTTAAGCACTGTTGAAATGAAATGAAATAGACAAAATAGCTTTTCTTTTATTTTGTGAAAATCTATATGGCTTTTTTGCATGACGGTGGAGGATAGCCTTGTTAACCTTCCCCTCCACGACGTGCAAGCGCAAGATGACGCAGTGTCGGCGTAATGAACAGCACTTGACGAGCAAATTATGAAAAGCTTATACTATTATCATAATTAAAGTATAACTTCTTCCAGTTTCCATTCAGCTTTTTTCATGAAAGGGCTCGGGAGGGGGCGGTAGCTCGCCCCCCAAAAAATATAAAGCGAGAAAGGGAAAGAAGAAGGGATGATTTCACCAATGTGCTTGAAAAATAAAACAAATGACCCCTTCCAGCCGTTACTTATCATTTTCATATGTTCGGTGCTTTGACCCAGGTAAAGTCCCCCCCAGAAAAATGGTTTGCCCCACCCCCATAAGAAAAAAACCCTCATGACGCCGTTGGCAGCCATTTCAAACAGCATTCCTCACTTACATTGGTTGATTTACCAGTTTGACTTGGTGTGCGACAAGAGAAGTCTGCCAAGCCTTGCTCAGTCAATTTACTTCGTGGGCTTTCTGGTCGGATCCTTCTTGTGTGGCTCTCTCTCTGATTGGTAAGCTCTCTAGAGACGCAGACTGAGTTAGAAACAGCATTGCTTAGATTAACCGACAAACATCAGACGAGATGACTGACAGGCCGAGACAAGTAAGCCAACCCGACATCAACAACTGGTTATAGTCGTTGATCTAGCTTTATAAATACTATAGGGTAGCTACACGATTAAGCTCATTGGCAAACCGGAAAATACACCTCGAAAACGTAGCCAGCAGTCTTGTCAGCCAGCCAACTGTGGCCACCAATAATCCTGCTCACGAGTTTTCAAAAAGTGTTAACAAACAACAACAATAACAAAAACACAACTAACCTCAAAGGCTTGGGGTTCACATTCAGACAATCTGCCTGTTGTGGGCATCAATTTAATCCAAAACACTATTTTTTCTCAAATATGTGTTTGTCTTCCCAAAATGCAGGATAGGCCGCAAGAAAACAGCCTTTGTGGCACTCCTGTTCTTTTCTGTAGGCTCAATCGTCACAACATTCTCTGTGAATATCTACATGTATATGGCCTTCCGTTTTATGGCTGGCTTCGGCAACATTGGTTCTTACATCCCCCTGTTTGTGCTTGGTAAGGAGATAATTTTTTTTTTTACTTTTTGTGTTTATAAGTACTTCCATGAAAGAGAAGATGTGTGTCTGGGTAAGATCGTATGCGGAAAGAACATTGAGGTATTGTTGTTCCCTTTTGTGTGTGTGGAGGGGGGTAGTTTGCGCATGCCTAATTTTGAAATAATTTAGTATATGAATGTACTGCACAAGGACAACGTGTGGATTATGGTGGATAGGATGGGTTTTACTTCCGTCTGTAGAGGCAGAATGTTGTTGCAGGCATATATTTACTACGCGACTACATTAATGAAGTCGCAGTCGCTGGTATCTATGTGGTTACAGCCGAACGTCTTCTATCTGCTTGCAGTGGTCGAATTTGTTGGGAAGTCATGGCGTACACCAGTGGCAATGTCTTCCGCTATTTTCTTTTCATTTGGGTATTTCTTCCTGGCAACTGCTGCTATGTACGTGAAGGAATGGCGGACCCTTTCCCTGATCATCTCGCTGTTAACGCTCCTCTTTTTCATCCCACTTCTGTAAGTATTCCTGGTGAGTTAGAGAAACCACAATGACGACAGACCAAACCGACGGCAATAATAGCGACAACGACATCAACGACAGCACCCACAACGTTGACACAACGTTGCATCAATCGACTTAGCCCCATGCAGCATCGGACTTCAAAATAATTTCCTTTAACGGGCGAGAAACTTTACTTCGAAATTGAGATACATTATATATAAATTGGCACAGTCAATAGATAAAATTCAGTGCATCAAGCGCACGTGTTCTCTTGTTTATGTATTCATGATTTCTGAGCTTGGTTGTTAAGCTTGGCAAGGTTGTATTTTCATGGACAGATTTGTTCAAGAGTCGGTAAACTGGCTAGTTTCGAAGGGCAGGATCGAGGAAGCTAATAAGGTGGTCAGACGAGTTGCCATGATCAACGGAAAGGCGCTACCAGATGTCTTGTTCGACAAAGAGGACATGGAAGAAACGGTATACATGCAACAATGTTGGATCTTGTTGTGCAGAGTTATGCTGGTATTCTAAATGATCGAAGCCCGCTATTTTGTTCTGTGCAGTAAATATAGAGGAGGGTTTGTGTGTCTGCAAACGTTACTGAATGAAAGGAAATGTGTAACTTGAAGGACAGTTGGCACTGTTGTACAGCGCCAAATCATAAAACACCATAAAAACGCGTATTGTCCAAGGGGAAATTCGTGAGAGAGTGATTTGTTAGTCGCAGTATATAAGTTATTTTGCACCAGGCAAACAAACACTTATTGGGCACCCAACTTTTGCAAATTCCCCAAAACCGAGGAATTAATAATCTTATAATTAAAGTTGCTGAAAATTTCAACCGGTGATCCATTGTGTAAAGTATCAAGCAAAACCTATTCTTTTCTCCTGCAAGGGCTATTTCAATCCTTGAATGAGCAAGTAAAAGGACATATTAATATGCCTTATTACTCAATATTATTCTTGTTTTTATGATGGAATCTAAGGAATCAAGTGTTCCGCCGTCTTTTATTGACCTCTTCAAAACACCGAACATGGCTGCCAAGACCATCAACATGATGTTCAATTGGTATGTACCGCGTAGGTTTGCAAATGCTTAGTAATTTATTTTAATGTGGATGTTTGTTGCGAAACAGTTTAAGAATAAACCATACTCATTGCATGATGAAAACCTTTTGTTGCATCTCGGAGGGTCCCATTTGGTACGATATGGCCTTTTTAAAATGCAAGTCAGATTTAATTTCTACATAATTATATTACAGCAGAATGTTCATTCCTGGAAAATGTAAGACAATAAAAAAAGTCCCCCTTCTAATGAGTAAGAGAACCTTTAGTCAAAAGTGGCCATGTTTAAAGTTTATTGTCTGGATGTTACTTTGGGTACGTAATCCTGGGCTTGGGTTTTTATCGTCAGTGAGCGAATGGCACGTTGCAAACATAATGTCACTGATCATCCAGGCAGACACTGAAAACGTCATTACTACAACATCGTTGCCCTCACAATTTTCGATTCGAGAGCGCATGTAACAATGAAATTGTGGTGAATCCATGACCTTGCGTCGCTTTCGTTAACATAAAAATCAAATGTTACACACTGTTTAACAAGAACACAAAAGTTGCAGAGACGAGGTTAAAGTGATATTCTTTGCATTGGCCCTGTCACAAAAAAAGACAGGAAACAGTACAAAAGACGGAGTTCTCTTTTTTAATCAGGATGGTCACAACTCTAATCTACTACGGCCTGTCTCTAAGTACTGGCGATCTAGGTGTGGACGAATACTGGGCATTCTTCGTTTCCGGAGCTGTGGAGATCCCTGCCATACTCTACGCAACCTTTGCTATTGAATGGTTTGGTAGGAAATTGAACGTTACTATACTGGAGGTGATCGGCGGGGTAGCCTGCTTGGCAAACATCTTCATTCGTAAGTGTTTTAATCCTGAAATTTCGTTTTTATTGCCAGTATAATAGCATTGTAGACGAGGGGTTTTGAAACTTGGGTTTCGTATCCGTCTGTTGCTTTGATTAGGTTTAACTCTACATCCCTTCCAGAACTGATCTACGTTAGATCACTTTATTCAATATAGCTGCACACAGACACAAAATCCTGAGTTTCAACGTGTAAGACTGAGGTCGAAAGAGTTTGTCTCTGCATTTGACTCTCCGGAGTGTTCAGACTATCACTCATACCTAAACGTCGTGGTAACGCCTGGGACTTTTCAGAATGGTTCATGTGCGCCTAAAATTTAGTTGACTTTGTTTACGGTTTTAGTTACGATGACATTATTATCCAGGACACATTTGTCAAGATTATTTAGGGATGGCTTTGACAGTAGCTCTTTTGTTTTTTGCATGGTGATCCCCAGAGAGCGATAACCAATTTAATAGAGTACCGAAGTGTGACGTCACTGTGAACCGGAAAGTGCAGTGCAAACGAATGGAGTACGCGCGCGTGTTGGTTCATGCGCTGGTTCACGCGCTCATGCCTTTTACACTCTGAATTGTGCGCAAGACGTATTCACTTCGGTACTCTATTAACAGTCTTTATTGGGGGGGGGGTATTTTCTCTTTCATTCAGCACTCGGGATCTGGCGCACTGTGGTATCTATGGCAGGCAAATTCTGCATCACAGCTACATTCTCAATAATATACTTGTATGTGACGGAATTGTTCCCCACCCCGGTTAGGTAAGCTTTACAGTGTACCATGGACTGTGTTTATTTATGTTATCAACATCAAACAGAGGGATACGCTTATTGCATTTTGAAGATCATAATCAGAATACTTTATGGTTGCATAAATGTCTGAAATCAAAGTACAATCTTTTAAAGAAAACTCACTAAAATGTTGGAGGAAATTATATGGGCTTGAAGCTGACTGTGGGTGTTGTGTACAAGTAATTTAGAGATCAAAGATTATGTCGTCATCAGTAAATAATTATATACCATATCATATCGCTCGAAGCCTTTGGTGTCGTGTTGAAACATGCACATTACTCGATTATAAGGGTTGGCATTGATGAACTGTGCGACAGTAATGGGTACGTCAGACTTTTAGGTGGTACTTCTTGTCGGAAAAGGAAGCTTATGCGGTATCACAATGCGGTTGGTCCTTGCTCGATGACATTCCACCGACAGTGTAAATATGAGCAGTGTTCAAGAACTGTACATTATTCATTAAAAACAAAATGGTATCAAAATTACCGGAGGACAGTTTAAAGAAGAAAAAACGCTCTGAAGGTGTTGGGAGAAAAAAGGGAAATGTAATGAAAATGCGGGCCCATTTGGGGTAAAGCCCGTAAAACAGAACTCGATTCCATTTAAAGTCTTTTGGATAGGCCTGTACAATTCGCCGTACGAGAGGCCTTGCAGGGCCACTCAAGGTGGGGGCTACAAGATAGAGAAAGAATAGGCAAAGAAGAGGGAGGGAAAATGTATCATCGCGTTAAATGTGACAGGTGCTTGTTTACACAATGATTCAAAGGTACAGGACGGAGAGCACAGCAGAAAGTTGAAGAAAACTGGTGGGGTATGCCAGAATTGGCTCTTTAGGAAATGTGACCGTGTACGGATTTGAATACACGGAAGATGGTTTGGTGGTCAAGTTCTGTTTTTTTTGGTTTTTTTTTTACGCACAGGAAGACTTCTGTACAAATTACATGTATAATTAATCCTTTCGCAGGTCGATTGGTTTGGGCATGAGTTCACTGTCGGCCAGGGTCGGAGGTATCTTGTCCCCCATCATTCTCCTGGTGGGAGACTACTGGGAGAGTCTGCCCCTGATTGTATTCAGCTCCGGCGCTATTTTGGCGGGATTTTTGGTGCTCCTTCTGCCGGAGACTAAAGGCCAGAAACTCCCTCAGACGCTTGAGGAAGCAGAAGAAATTGGAAAGTGAGTTGGCCACTCGGATAGACGTATAGATTTTTGTCGTGTGGAAGCCAGTGAGTGGTAGTGTGGCAGAAGGATGCCATTCTACAATTTTCACAGTTAGGGTACTGGGCCACATCTTGGCTTATGCACAAAAATAACCGAGGTGTTTCCCAATTGGTTCTGTACTAGGAATTAAGAACTCCACGGTGAGCATTATTTACCAACTAGAAAATGTTGTGTTTACGGTGACTGATGGAGTATGGAAGATGGAAATGGCACACTCCAACTTGACAAGAAGAGTTTGATTGTGTGTAGTAGAAGCAATACAATTTGTAAAATGGAATTGGGTTAGAGAAGTAGTTCTTTCCTCGCCTTTCTGCTCTGCGGCCCGGGTTTGATTTCCAGCTCATGTGGATTGGGTGTTCAGTCCTTATCTAATTCCGTGGGTCTAATTCCGCTTCTAAAACTGTAACTGCATCTTATTGTCTCCTCTCTACAGACGTGTGTGGACGTGGGTCGTTTGATGGCTGCCTAATAGGCGCCTTGTATGCCGCCGACTAAACCAAGTTTAATGTCTTCATTGTACAGCGCATTTGAACATGTCTTTATGAAATTGCGCTTTATAAATGAGCATTAATTAATTAAAAACAATTATTTGTCACAACAGATGCAAATGCATGCCCAGGAGCGTCAACGCAGCGTCCGTCGACGAAATCAACGAAAGCGAGTCGGGCAGAGAGGGAGGCCTAACTTTGACCAACCCAGCCTTTGATTCCAATGGGGAAGAACACATGGAACTAAAGGAGGTCAAGGAAAGGAACTAATGAATTAAAGCGGAATCCAAATCCAAATTCTGTGTGGGTAACAAAAATCATGTGATACAATTTTTTCCTGAACTTCTTTTTCTATTCGAACTTACATTTAACCTTCTATTTTTGTTAACATTGTCTCTCGAGTTTAAATTGTCGAAGCCATATAAACGATCCACGGCGTTTTTCGGAGGCTTAAATCGCGGCACATTGTGAAAAATCCAGGGGACTGATATTTCATCTAGATACGTTAAAACTGTGACGCGATGAAGAGGCTTAATGCTCATCAAATACAAGCAAATCGAGTTTTGACGGAGAAAAAGAACGCTCTACTAGTTCCTCAGACTTTTTGTTCCTCGTTGAAGTGCTTTAATCTCAAAATGCAGCATTATAGAGCTGTTTAAAACGATGACCCTCCAGCGGGACCAAGAAAGGGCGCCTGTTTTAGCAACGGAGGCTCCTTTGGTCGGAACTGAACTCTGCTGATTAACAAACGCCTATGAAATGCACGCGTTACGGTCGCATCGCTACCAATAAAATGAACACTCCTGACTAACGCGGCTCTTTTCAACTGATGAGGGGGTGTTTCTGCTCGAGGGAGATACCCTCCCATTTTGAGATTTGTTTCGGCAGCTGCAGTGCATAGCGAATTTCACTTTTAACTTGAATCATGGATTGTATTGAAATAATTGTATAAATATGATACCCTTAATGATGTTAACTTAAGTTTTCCTATCGTTCCATTCTTTTTCATCTTTTTTATCATTTCAGGTAAACAGTTGGAAAATATTTGAGAAAGCAGCCTGAATTCTTGCAAAGGGGATTCATTTTGCGGCATCTGTGTTTTAGTTGAATATCTGGGACTGTCACATTACGATTAGAAACAAACAACGATCACAATAGGAGATACCATATCGGCGAAGCTTGCAGTAGCGTAGGCCTTCCGAAAGGAATGTCGCTACATTTAGTATTTCGCTAGTGCACAGGGCTCCATCTAATGGCCCTAGGTTTGGCAGATGCCAACGCGAAGTTGGTCGCAGTGACAGTCGCACAAAGATTGTGGTTATACCGCCCATAAGGTGCGTTCGGTTAGCTTACAAGGGCATTTCTGACCTGGGGATTGCCGTGTGCGCAGTGTCAATCGAGCGAAACGGTGGGGGTGAGGTTAACGAATACATCCTTATTGTGTCACATGCACACCTATATCACATGTAATGTGCAAACCAATTCTGGAGCTGAAATAAAGCTACGTCGTGCAGTCTGAAAAAAATGGCTAATCCATGGGTCATGTTAGGGCGTTGGGGACCAACGAAGTGACCCCTTACTTTATCAAGCGCTCACTGGAGAATATTTGTTTGTAGGGTAAAATTGGTAATTGCTGCCCACGGGTGTGTCGCGACGTTTTAGTTTTCTTTACAAACGGTTTTGATGGCTTTGGTTACGAAAGACTATTATTTCAGGTCGATAATGTCTACTCAATTTACACCTTTTAAATATATTATATGTATATCGTTTTGTTAGGGGAGTTGCTTGAGCATTATTTTGCTTCAGCTTACTAACACCTATGATTTTTGTTCACTAATATAAACAAAATCATTACACTTTAAAAGAAAAATGCTTCAAGAATTCGTTTAAAATCATTAATTGCCCATTTTGGTTTATGAACTGTGTATTGTATAAAAATGCCTGGTGCGCTTGTGAAACTTGGTGATTGGATTGTCTAGCTAACAATTATTTTATGGTAAAGTGCGTGTTGAACAGAAAAGGCATTTGCTTCACTTTTTGCTCCATTTGAAATACTTCAAACTTTGCAACTTGGTATCAACTATGCAGTGAAGGTTTACATGTAACTGTTCAACTCTTAAACAGTAGAAGAGGTCTATACTGAAAGCAAACATTGCCATCACTTGACATAATGCCAACCAACCCAACCCCCCCTATCAATGTTGGAAGGAACTGCACCATGCTGGCTCGTTTCTACCACAACATTGATGGGGGGGATTGGGATTTCTATTCTACTAGAATAAAAACCAACAAGATTTGACACTTTTTTGAAACTAAACTAGTCGATTACTCTCTGTTTTCAGCACCATGCCAGCTCATTTCTACCACAACATTGAAAAGGGGGAGTGGTTGGGACTTCTAGTCAACTGGAATAAAAACTAACAAAATTTGACAAACTGTTGACAGATTTAAGGAATCTTAGGAGTGAAATTTCTCAAAGCATCCAATGACACAAATTGGCTTTTCACACGTCTTACATATCGTGCGGGTTTGCCTTCTCCGAGCTGTGTTACTGCATTTCGCCTAGATAATGCTGTACATCTTCTGACATACAAGGGATGCTCTTGTGCACGTGTCCGGCACCTCCTAAAGTCAAGATTGGACAGTCTACGATTGGTGTTTCTTGCATTTTAGAACACATATTTCTAGAAGAGCAAAGAATACTCGTTTCCACCACTTACCGATCTGTGAACATGTGCATAGTACACACACTGTTGTGATGCAAGATCGGTTCCCCCCATATGCTTCTTGTACTCAATGACAGTATTTGGTTTGCTGATGTCACGATAACCTGTAAGAGTGGTTTTACACCGAATCTGATCATTAGTTACACTACAGTTGCCATAGTTTGTCAACAGTGTTTCTCTTTTTATCCTGCCATACAAGATACTAGTTGTCCTGACTTTTCATAAAAGCAGGGTTTATTTCCTTTAGCCATAGGAAACTTTAGAGGGGGTTTGCAAAATGCGGAATTCCTTGAGTCTTGTATCTTACAGTTCCACAAAAGCCAACGCCTACCTGGGTTAACCTCTGAATAAGAGCTGGTGTACCAATTATCAGCAAACATGCAGTGTCTCTGATTTTTAAATCCATCAACAAGTTCCAAAACAGCTTGACCAGGTCGAGGTACATGTACTCCTGTGGGATGATCAGCTGCATTGTCTGTCTCCGAGTCGGCACTTGATGTTGGTGCTTGCGACCGTGTGTACAATGTCCAGGCGCATGCGT